GAACATATGCTCATAGGATAAGAACACTGCTCGTGTAGTGCATGTAGTAGTACCATCTGCTGACACCTACCACAGCCCTGTTATTGAACATTTACAGAGACAGCACCTACAGGACAAGTCTGGGGTTTTGTTGTGCTAGACTTCCTACAAATGTAGCATATAACAGCAATGACAACCTCTCTAAATGTTTATCCACAACACAGAAGTACCAGCAGTTCCTTACCAGTGATTAGCAAAATAAGAATACTTCTGCAAATCTTGCATTGAGCAGCTCTTCAGATGTATTTTTAGAAGTGGAATTTTGTGTTTCTAAGCCCTTAATTTTCAACAATCAAGTTAGAATTCCAGACTTGTGTAAAATTACTATTTCTCATTTATTATGAGCTTGTCAAAAGAAGGTGGTTATATTTATAGCAAAGATCACCAGCCAGTAGCTGAACTGAAGCCTCAGCAGGAATACAAGAGAAGAGGTGAAAAGAGGCAACCACAGAGGTAGAAGCAGAGTTGAGGAACAATACTGGCCACGTTGTGAAAACCTGCTGCTTCTCTGCAAAAGGAAAGCATCAGACAGGAGCTCTACGCTAATAACAGCAATCCTTGTCATGAAACAATTAACCAAAGATTTGAGCCCAAATGAAAAAAAAAAGTTTCTAGACTTTGCTAATCTGATATCAATCAGTATATAATATGCTCATTTCAAAATTGTAAAAAGCATGAAAATATTTTTCACAGAGATGCATTAAAGCAGAAATTACACCAAGAATTGTACTCAAATATTTACAGACCAAGCCCATTCCCACAGGAGGGACAACCTAAAACACTATCTTTTTATATTTTCATGAACTGGATTTCAAATTTTAAATGCAATTGTTATGTTTAGTTGTTCAAAATAATCTGGAGACTAAATGTAGTCCATGAAAAGCAATTAATGAATATATTTATGTTTTTACTGCATTTTTCAGCATAGCAAACCCTATTTCCTCAGGTGTTAATGAGGAGTATCTTGCATTATGGAGCTAACAGGTAAATAGGATGGCATTAGGATGAGTAACAGTCTCCTGAACTATACATTTTTAAAGATTTGACAGGGAAAACATATTTCCAAAGGAGAAAAAAATACATGCAAAAAAATGTTAGAGAGGAATGCAGGAAAAATTATCTTCCTAGTCATTGGAAGTCATTAGCAACCATTGCTAGTTAAAACTGCACTAAAAATCAGTGACATCACTTAAATAAAACTAGAATCCAAGTTTCTAATCTCAGCCACGGTATTTACATAAAAGATAGAACATTAACATGAATGCTACATGAGCCAAGGAGTCAGTCATCTCATGTTTCTGAAGAAACACAAATTAAAATAAGGACAAACACACAGAAATCCTTGTGAATAAGTTACCCAAAGTTTGTAGATTTTTCTAGATATGTGTTAGAGCAAGTTCCTTCCCTTCACATACAAAGATTAGTTGTCTACTGAGAAACCATGTTAAAGTTAAAAAAAATGTTACATCTTAAACTGCACTATTTTTTCTTGCTTAGCCATAGAACACATCATCCCCTCCCTTTGCTAAAGTGATTAGCTGAAATCCCCAATACCTGTGCAGCAACTTCAGATTCAAAGCACTTGTACAGACATAAATAAAACACGATGCAATGTCTTTTTAATAGGATATATTAAATAATTTTTAAAAAGCCCTTAAAAAATATCTTACTTTATATTCAGGATTTGACTCAGAACTATTTAAATCTAAATCCTTAGTACTAAAATTGGGAATATATTTTATTAAAAATAGTGGTACTATGTTTAAACATAGTTCACTTAGCTGTGTTCACTCAGTTTCTGCCTGAGACTGTTCCAAAGTAAAAACAACCATACGTGTCACTGATTCAACCATATGACAGAAACAAGGGACAGATGGAGAACAAGACTGTTTTAGTGCACTCACAGATGGGGGAATTTTAAATGATATATCCAAAATACTTTACACTCTTCTGTATTTTGAGTAAACAATGAGACAAAACACTAAAAGGCTATCACTGCTGCTGGAATAAATGACAATTCTTATTTGCAAAACTATGTTATAGTATGCAGTATTCAGAACACTTCTCTTAAAATAGTTTTAAATTCTGAAGTGCCCTCCTCCTTCACTTCAAAAAGATTGGTTTTCAATAACTACTGGGCCATTTTGCTAATTAATTCATCTGGTTAAGATTAAGCTATAGATTCCTAGAAATTCTCTAACCTGCTCTCAGATGGAGCAATGTCAACAGCCAAATAATTGGATATTCTCCAAAAATTACAGAAACATTTACTACTATAAATTAAGAGATCATTTGAACTCAAATGGGATGAAGATCCAAAGAATGAAATTAGTTTAGCTCAGCCACAAAACAAATCACTAAATTCTAGTTCTTGATGTTCACCAACTCAGCAAGTAATAATGGTTCCTTTCAGCCAAAATTTGTAATATTAGCTTGCTTTTTCGTAAAATACAATAGTTTTGTAAACACAATCAATTAATGCTTTGTTGTAGACAGGGTAATAATCTCAAGTGTTTAAAATATTAATGACAATCCCTTGAGAAGTCTCCAGATTACACAGCATTATCATTTTAAGGAAGAAAATCTATTGTGTTTACTGTCTAAAAATATAAAGTGGCAGAGCCCTAAACAAAAATTAAGTTTCATTAAGCAAGCCATTATAATCTATACAGATTTACTGCAATACTATTCAGCTTTATCACAAAATGAACAGAATGTTCATAAATAAGTAGATGGTACAAATCAACACAAAAACAATACAAAAAAAAAAGAGACAAATGCAAACATCTTAAGTGGTTTCCTCCAGATATAGTTAGAGCCATACAGGCAGTATATGTGCTACATGGAGAGAACAAAGTAGCCTAAATACAATTTATTCTTCCACACAATTTCTCAGTGTTATGTCCTTCTCCTTCCTCAAAACCTGATGAAGCTAGCATTTTAACAGGCAGAAAGCTATAGTATTTCCAACTCCTGTGAAATATGCCATGGTATCTTAATAACATTCCTCACTAAGGTTATTTTGTCTGTGGAATAGCATCTCAGATGGTAATACCACTCATGCCACATGGTGATTTCCACTTTATACCAGTTCCAACAAAACCACAGCCCCAACTTTAGCCATGTCTACTCAATCAGGACTAATAGATGATCCACAGAGTGAACCCAGAGACACTTAAATTCCAAGATCTATACTTCACAGGAATTTATTTTGTAGTTTTGTACTGTGTACCACCACCCAAAATGGTGAAAGTCGCACGCACCAGGACCACCTCATGATCATGCAAAAGGAAGGTAGATGGGAATAATCAGGGGATTACTTTCCTAAGCATAACTAGTCCAATCCAAACCACTGACATGGGGACACCCTTTGGTTTCTTATTCAGAAAATATTAGGCTTCACACTTCGTGGTACTTTTAACGTTTGCCTCCTGAAGAACTTGCATACTTGATACAATTTTCAACCATGATTCCTCTTCTCAACACTACTTGTTTGGTTAGCCATAGAACCTCAAGATCTGCTTAAATCTATAGATTTAAGATGCAGAGTTATACAGAATTACCTTCACAAAAGTTTACAAAAAAAAAAAAAATCAAACAACTGCGGTGACACTACTTCTGACAACTGCTATGCATTAGTTGAGTTTTTCATGTCAATTGAAGTTAGTAACTCTACCACTGATACAGTACAGTAGAACAATTATTTAAGAAAGATCAATCTCACAAACCACCAATGTGAGTTACAGGCACAGGAAAGCACACTGAGAACAGAAAAAGACTTGTTATTTCTCATTACTACTAAATAAAAAGCTAACTGAGCAAACCATAAAATGGAGAAAACAGAACGAAGAGATAAATATACCATTGCTTTGCCTTTTAATTTGAGCCTCACATAAATTTGATTTATTTCTAAGGCTCCTTTCAGCATTCATTTTTTCCCTCTACTCTTGTCCTCTCTGACAGTCTCTTTAAAATAAACTATTCTGATCATTTAAGTCAACGTTTTTTTCCCTACAATTGCAAATTATTTCAATACAAAACCTATTTTTATTGTTTCTTTCTCAAAAGATAAAATCCCACAAGAGTTCTAGGAGATAGTCAGATACTCACTGCTGTAATTACCAATACAAACTGCAACAATTAAGCTTTCAAGTCCTCCTTTTTAGTCGTATTTTGCTATTTGTCAAAAAGTCTTTAAAGATCAACTATTATTTTTAAACAAAACACAATGTTGTTTTGTGATTTATATTATAAAGGCAGTAAGTAATTTTCTGTGACACTAAATGGAGTTATGCAATACACAATTTGGGCCCAGGGGATCATTAAAAATAGCCACGGAAAATTCATGAATTCAGTGAAAAAAGAAATATTAAATTCTGCTGAAACTACATACAGTTATCAACACAGCTTAAGTCTATTTTTCCCATATGCAATATCTGTATGCATTTTATGGCTCTAAACCCTTCTGTAATCACAATCTGCAACAATTTCACTGTTTCATCCTAAGCATCATAAACTGTAATTAGTGTCTAATATTTTGGCAGGTTGGGAAGGATATGTCACTTAGTTAAAACCCACATCATAGATGGAACCACTTCAGAAAATAAAACACGTAAGTTTAATACACATAATACTAAAATTTATGAGCAAATCAAAGCAGTAGACCATTCATGCTTAGAGGTACCCTGGATTCTCCAGCTAAAGTCCCAAGGCTTCAACACAGGTAATAAAGACTACAAAAATAACAGCAGTTGACACTTGACATTATACACGTATTTGTGTTACTGTGGAGTAGCTAAATGAGTAATCTCTGAGTAGTCATGTTTCTATGTGTCAAGAGCTGTTTCCCTTCTTCAGTTTATTAATCTTGCACAAAATATAGCTGTCCCCCAAGATTGAGTTCAACACAGAAGCATTCATAAGCCCTTGTAATTTTAATCATAAGTGAATGGTTTAACATATTCTGAATTTACTCCTTTTATTTTCAACCATTTCATATAGTTGAAAATATAACAAAAATCAGTCTGTTCACAACTTTCAGTAAGTTCCATTCAAGCCATGCCTACTTACCTGACCCGCAGTCAGGAACGGGCACAACATTCATTCCAGAGAAGGGAGCAAAAGTCAGATAAACACACAAAAATTTAAAACAAGCAACTATTAAAAACAACAACTGCAGGGGAGTACTATTACTGTCCTTTTTCCGATACACTCTACTTATTAAGTTCAGACACGATCTTGCTGTCAACTGCCTTGATAGTTTATTTCTCTAGCCTTCAGTTATGCAAAAATCAAAGACAACAGTTCTACAAGGTATTTTTGAAACAATATTTGAACAGCAGCAATCACTGACGTTCAAGAGGAATACAGAATATTTAGATAAATATGTCCATGTTTACTTCCACTTTCCATTGAGCAGTCTGGATAACTGAGTTTTATGGTGGTGAAAAGTTCAACACAGTAAGACACCCACACGCCACTGATGGACTTTGCCTAAAATAAAATAAAAATATGCAATAAAAATATACTTATGTATCACAGCGATATGTATTGAATACATTTTGGTTTTAGACTTCTCTCACTTTTTGAGCATGTCTTCATTGCAACTCTAATAAGCTATTGTTTGGAGTTCAAAACACATTTAAGTGAACCAATGTTAACACCTATCTCATGTGATATTTATTGAGTGGGCTGACCACCTTTTTGAATGTACCGCATTAAATTAAAAATCAATCTTGTATCTTTCCAGGTTACATGTCCATTTGTTTCAGACATAACATTGATACCCACTTCAAATTAATTATCATGAGGGAAAATGCACCATGTTTTGCAAGACTAAATAGGATTTTGGAAAGCAATAACTCCTAGAAATTTATTTTATTTTTTTTTTAAAAACTCACCTTACGTGAACTTCATCAAGACTTTAATGTAAAGCTTCCAAATGACATGAATTATTTTGATTTCTTCAGACTGAGTTTCCACTTGAAAAAGTCAAAACAGGAAAAACAGGATGGCCATCTACAGAAGTTATCTTGCAGGTCACATATCATTGGTAGAAAAACCTATTTCATATGGTGCCATTCCCTACTCGTGCATGATTACCTAAAGATCAAATATCAGTTAGCTGTGCATCAAGTTAACTACAACATTGATCTTATGAGATCATACTCGATAGATCAACTTTTCCTGTTACACTAAGAAATCCCAGTACTGAAATTAATGAACCTAGGCACAATGTAAATTATAAGTAACAATATAATGGAAAGGGAAGCATCTATGTGCAGATGAGGTACAAAATAAATCAACTTGCTTGTGTGGAACACCCCCATGCAATTGCTTCTTCCTCAGAAGTATAAAACCCCCAAAATTAAATACAATTAATTAAGCAGGTTCACATCACACTAAATGACACTGTTAATGGTCCTAGGGAAATGTAATAACCTCTTCCTACTGGTATTCACTTTTTTTCCCAAAAAATAAATCCCTTGGACTAGACCACTCTGTCCTCTTCTCCTCTGCTATGCCTACTTACTCTTGGTACTAGAATATCTGTTTCAACACCTTCTGAGACCAGCTCTCCAAGCTGCAGTCTGGTATAAACTAGTGACTGACTACAAGATACACATAGGGAAGGACAGCAAGTAAATCACTCCAGGGTCAGACCATTGTGCAGGTTTAAGTGGCACAACTGTGCCACTTAAAACAAGCAACTACCTGAGATGCAGATAGGAACCTAAAGGGCTCTTAAGTTTTCAAAGAAGTCTCCTACATACAGGGCATAGTTTCCTTACCAGTATGGGTGCTACAAGAAGAATGATATTATAAAACCACTACCACATATGTTTTTGATGCAAGATGTACATTTCAGCGTATGCTCAAAAATAGAGGGACCAATGCACAGATCATCTAAACTCCCCAAGAATGACACTATACCACAAAACTATCCCCTTGAAAATGTATAGGACAAAAGGATTAAGCATCTGCCAAAGTACCCACACCCTAACAGATCAGGCTGAATATAAATAATATAAAGGGAATTGATCACTTTGTATATACAATGAGCTGAGTTCCTTCATCTGGATTTCAGATCTGGGGTAACTGTAGGTGATTTCTTGTAGCTGCCAGATTACTGTTCGATGGCAGTCAAAAAAGCCAAATTGAATCTTAGGCAGTACTGAGAAAAAAACAGAGACCAAAACATTATTACATGGTCCATGGTTGACATGTATCTTAAATGCTATTAACTTTCCATATCCCTGTCCTCAGAAAGAATAAAATTGAGCAATAGGAAGTACAGAAAATGGGTGACAAAGACGACCACAACTATAAACATTTTCTATTAGAATCTACAGGGATCCCTCAGCCTTTTAGATCAATGAAGAGTTTTGATTGAGATCTATAAAATTAAGATCAGCTTGAAATATAAAGCATACCAAACAACACAGGCAGATGGCAGCTTTCAAACAAAACACGTGGTCCTTTACAACACTCAGGGATTACACTAAAAAGAAAATTAAAAATAAAAAAAAACTGTCTTCTATTATAAGAACTTCTTTCATGCTGAACACACTGAGTAAATCTCAGAAAAAAAATGAATCAAGTCAGGTGTGAGCAAGTTCAACAGGAAATCAGTAAAATGAGAAAGATATCTTTAAAAAACAGGCCAGCTTACATTGCAATATTAATCTGCCTCTCAATACAGGTTGCTTGTCTACATTCTGTTTTCTTTCATTGCAAATGCCTTTAAGTATCATGAATTATTTTATACAGAATAAATATCATATTAGCATCTAAGCAGTCCAAACAGCACAGAGCTCTTGTTCAGCATTGGAAGTTTTTCATAAACAATGAAAAAGAACATACATATATATATACACATACACTACATAGAGAGTTACTGATGAAGCAGAATAAATGGGTCATGTGGTGTTTTTAGAAGTCTATTACTGTAAAAATACATGCACACTAATGGGATGTAAAACCAGGTTCTCAGTAAGTAGGTCACACAGCACTTTTGTAGTCTATTAGAATATACACATGCATACTAATGGATACAAAACAGGCTTCTGTAAAAGTAAGAAGATTATAGAGACCTGAAAAATCCTGTGACATGGACAGGGTCTGAGGAGGTTGCTCTATTAGACAGCTGTATATATTTGTCAGGGATAATCTGTTTCCTGAAATATTTCTTTTTTCTTACCAAGTTGCTTGCAACAGCCTCTAGGGGAATCGTGCTTTCCTGTTAGCCCATAGTTATAAAATGATAGCTCAGTTCTAAAACTGGATGTTAGAAAGTAATGCTGCCTCTGGAGAGCTTTATATTAAGCAGCCCAAATTTTGATAAAAGGAAGCTAGAATATGGCACAAAATTAAGCTGTAAGTCATAATTAAAGTTACCATTCATTCCCTTTTCGTATGATTTTGTTGACAAACTAATTCAGCTTAGCCTCAAAAAGTAACCAAACCAATTGGGCATAAGGTATATATATTATATCACCAGATTTTTAATTATACAAAAGAAACAAATCAAGTGACTAAGTAAAAATACAGGACAGATGCTTATACTTAATGTAAGAATACAAAATATTTAATGTTAATTCTATTTGTATTAAAATATGTGAAATCTACCAGACAAGTTCAAGCTATTCACTTCTACTCTAAAGAGTGATTTCTTACAACAAAATCAAGAAATGCTGAAGATTTCTGAGAAGTGGAAGTATAGCCTTGCTTTAAGATGCATAATATACATCTCAAAAGTGAACTTAATGTGTTGATCTCAAAGTTGCAACTTTACTTACCAGATAATGGCTGCACTGTGATCATAACTATCCAAGCACCAAAATATAGTCACTACTTATCACTGCTTAAACATAGCTGCAGCATGTGTGCATGTTTTGTGTCTTAGCCTTAATTACCTTTTTTTTTTTTTTTGGAAGTGGATTGCTCTGAATGTAAGATATTTTTGTATCACATTTTTTATCCTTATACTCAGGCAGCTTGCTGAGGTCCCAAACTCCTTTAAGAATGATATTGTAAACTGTCATTCATATGATGTTAATGCTTGCAAGGTAACTCATCTATATCTTGCCAGACACTTGACAGCCTAACTACTGATTTGAATCGGATGCATTTGTAAATGCATTTTTCCCCTCACAGAGCTCAGAATGCCTCCTGACTGCACTGACAGACACCAACTAATAAAAGAACATTTAAAGCTACCAATTAGAGCTGCACATAAATGGATTTTTTGGAGTTGCCTCTCCAAGAATCAAAAAACTAAATCACAGAGGACACAATTCAGAGGGAACAAAAAAAAGTTTCCCCCTATAATTTTTCCCCCCCCTCTCAGAGCTATCCTCTTCATTAAGAAGAGAGGAAGTGGGAAAGAAAGATTAAAAAAAAAAAAAAAAAAAAAGTATTTTTGGCTTACCAGAGTCTAAAAGTCACAGAACAGATGACCATCTTTTCCTCTCCACCATTTTCCTCAGCTGCTTACCATTTTCTGGCTGGCAGTTCCTCCCCAGACATCCCGAAAAGGTGGAGAAGATGGAAAACACTGAAAACAAAAACTCTTAATCATGCAGAAAGGTTTTTGTGAAGAATCTATGTATGCATATTATCAAATAACTGATTTATTCATATAACTTGCAAAATTATGTTGTCAGAATTAGAAAGCACAGTTTTTAAAAACAAAAGCTTTTTTGGCACCTGGAAACTTAAAAGTTTAAAAAATACTATGGACCATTTAGGCACCTGTAAGGATAGCCACCATGTGAAAATAACTCCCTATGGTAGATTATTTTTCACCAGAAAATGATACGTTAGAAGGCCCATACGATGAAGCAACTGAGAAAATGCATAGACTACATGCAAAATGCAAATCATATCACAAGTTTACTAATCTGCAATCAGGTTTGGGTTCATTTTGAGTTATTGTCACCTGCCATAGGGAAGGCTTGTAGCATGCGATATGCCATTTTTTTAAAAACAAGGTAAATGCATAAAAGAGCAGTAGGTACCTGGAGGAGCCAAAGGGTCTGGATGCACACATTCTTTTTACACATTCTTTTTCACATTGGAGGATTGGACCAAATTCCTCTAAGATTTAATTTCCTTGAAATCCCATCAGGTGACCTGTATGGAGTCATCTTACCCACACCTTGTTTTCCAGCAAAGTCTGGATACTTTAAAGCAGATAATTTTAATGAGTTTATTTTTCTTTCTGAATTGTAGGGTTTCTTCCCAGCCACACATGTGCACTGCCCGAATGACCCTGAGGCTCATTGGCAACAGGTGAACAGCACTTAATTCTCACAGGTGCATTTTAGAAACATTGCAGAAACATTGCCTGTGTGGAAAACTTCTGACATACTCCTTAAGTAACTGTAGTAATTTCTAAGAGGAATGCAATAACTCTTATTGAAAGTGAACCCTTAAAACTAAGAACTATTCTTATAAGTGCACTGGATTACTACATAATTCTCCATTTGGTAAGCTGCCTCAAAAGAAAACAGTATATTAAAAAGAAAAGAAAAAAACCTCTTATACGTAGACTTTTGTTCAAGTTCTCACAGTATCATGTAGCATTTTCAAGATCTCAAGATAATTTATACCATTCCTCAAAAGTTGTTTCTTTAAAAAAGGTTTTCACTGGGTTTTGTTTTGCTTTTTCAGTCTGTCCTCAGAACAATGGTCTTCTGGGGGCAAATATCATTATTTAAGCACAAATAATGCCAAAACCCTTGTCAAGAGTAAGATACAAGGTAAATACAAAATAAGGTGCATCAGAGGGGAGAAAAAAACAACATTCTGTACAAAATGCAAAGAGAAAAAACAAAAAACTATAATCATCCCACTCATTTTTCCAAATTCCCATTCATGGGAATAAATGCCAACCAAACTTTGAGTCCTAAATAGTACCATACTTCCTACTTTGGGATTGCTGAAGTGGGGAAAAGAGGAATTGGGTTTTGGTTTGAGGATGGCAGTTATGCTACTTGTTTATTTTGCATTAAATAACACCTGAGAAACACAAAGTCAAACTCTTAAAAAATGCTCATTTATTCTGTGACTTTATATAATAATCTGAATTTTTGGAAAGACTATGAATTCCACAAAGACTTGCTGTGTCATCACAAATATTAATTTCAACATTTAAATCTCTGAAGTTACTACCAAGGAATGATTATGTTGGTATTAAAGTCATAGTAAGTGATTATAAGAATGAAAAGGACAAAATTATTCTTAAAAACAAGTTCTCGCTGACCTCATGAATTCAATTAACAGGAAATAAGTTCATATCATTTTAAACAAGGAGGTATTCTGATCGGCTGCCTGTCCATCTGGTTCCTCAGCATGAAAATATTTTTCAAAGACCCCAGTTCACAACAGTCACAGTGTCAGGGGAAAATTCCACACATATTTTGTCAAATAGAAAGATAACAAATTTGGAATGCAATGGCTCAAATTCACTCTAATAAGTGCAAATTCAAGGTACAGAAACTTAACACATTTTACAAGCATAACAGTTTTCATGCTATGTGCAGCACTGAAAGAGTATTGATAATAGCACACTAAGAAATAAAAGAAAAAGGAGAGATTAGACTGACTGTAAATGGAATTGGTCATGATGACAGTCCTAACAGAACTGCATCAGCTTTTGCTCAGATGAAGAATGGAAGTACATTCATGCTGGCTTGCCTATGATGTCAAAAAATTATACTGGAGAGAAAGTTACTAGGAATAATTGCACCACTCTTCTGGTTACATCTAGTTGAAATGTTTACAAGTGTATGTGATGAATGGTAACCTGTCATCCCCTCTGTAAAGAAAAAGGGGTTCATACACAGCATTTCTACCACCATATATTACAGTGCTGGAAGGAAACAGAAAATCTGAAGCCAGTCATTACACCTTGCAACGCCACAAGCTGCCAAATAGTACAGCAACTATCAGAGAGATTCCGGGACAAAAGGTGGCTGCCAAGTGGAAAAAATTAGCCCAAAGCAAAAGCTTCTCAACAAAACGTGTATAAACAAAGGAGTTCATCTCAAATTCATTTTCTTTTTAACAACAGCAAGGAGCGTGGATCAGGGAGAAGGCAGAAGGAAAGCTTTTCACTGAGACAAGAAGAAAAGACAAACCTCAGTGATGACTGGATTGTACCTACATGCTAAGTTTTAGTGGGTATCTCAAAATCATGTCTTTTAATAGGGAATCAGAAAAATGTAGAAAATCTTACAAATTTGCAAACATTTTCCAGCAGCTCTACTTACTGTGTTCATCTCTGCACTGTGTACTGGGGCAACCTCAGGACACAGCCATTCTCTTCTACTCTATTTACAATTATGCCAGACTACATACTGTCCAATAAAGTAGAAATTTAAACTGCACTCTTGAGAGCATACGCTGTATTGTAACATGATTACTTCAAACAGTACAGTAATGTCAGTCATTATGCAACAAGCTTTTTAAGCAGTAAACATAACACAGTGAGATATTCAGACAGGTAGCACAGTGCTCTTAAGGTTCCATCACCTAGACATTAATCTACAGGAAAGAGTATGGCCTTATGATAGGACATAATGTAAGAGCGTAACTCATACTATTGTCAGAGAACATTCCACTAAGCTGAACTCAAACATATGCAGCACATTTCCAGAGACTTAACATTAACTGACACAAAACTTAATCACTATTTCTAAACCTAAATACATTTAATAATAATGATATATAACATTTCTGACTCTTTGACTTTAGTTGAGACAAAAGCAGAATATGGGCATAATAAAACGCCTAGGAAATATCCTTTGCTGGAGTCCTTAAATCTAAATAAAGAACACAGATTTCAGAAACACCTCAAAATGAAGTGGAAAAGAAAATAATAATTTTCACTATTTCCCCACCTGTTGGTTTTTCATTAGTCATATTTAAGACCGCTATCATTTAAGTATGAATTGCAAGCGAGATGTGCCAAGAAATAGGGCCTTTACTTTCAGACTTTAAGATCTTAAAAATAAAAGTGTTGTTCCTGACTAGATTTAAGAGATGAGGCTGTCTGAAGATTTTCTTGTGGCAGCACAAGGAACATGTTGGAAAAAGTTTGTGGTGCTTCATATGCTTTCCAATTACATATGGAAATGTTCTTTCTGCTTTTTCACAAAGAATTAATAAAAGTCTTTAAAAGATGCATTCAAGACTTGATTCTCAGCCCTTTGTTGTTGTTTCTTTGTTTTCACCAGTTATAAGATTTATATTTTACCCTTTGAAAATTACCTTGCATAGTTTTGAAGTTTTTTCCTGCTGCTATGCTACAGAGATCGATAACAGTGTACTTTTATACTTGTGGTTATGGTAACAGTATGTGTTAACAGCATAGTGGCATGCAGAACCAGTCAGCTAATAAGCTCTTTCTGGCTACAGAAGTATATCTGTATCTTCCTGGCCCTTTACATCCTTCTCCTCATGTAGGTCTTTTATGACTTTCTATCCTGAGGAGAAGGATAGAAACTCTTAGCAAGAAAAAAAAAAAAAAAAAAAAGAAAAAAATGGACTTGGTGCATAGGGACATGGTTTAGTGGGTGACATTGGAAGCAGGGTGATGGTTGGACCAGATGATCCTGGAGGTCTTTTCCAACCTTAATGTTTCTCTGACACTTTGTTACACTGATCAGAGGCTAGAGCCTGAGTAGGAAAAGAACATATGGAATATGTGGACCAAGGTAGGTAAGGCTGTGATTTGCTAGGTCCTGCATTTTTGCCACCTAACCCAACCCATAAAAGTGGCCTAAAAGAGAGCTGGAGAGGGACTCCATCAGGGAGTGTAGCCATGGAACAAGGGATAATGGTTTTGAACAAATGGAGGGGAGATTTAGATTAGATGTGATGTGGGGAATAAATATTTCACTCAGAGCACAAGCGCACATGGGAATTGGGGCTGAAGATGCACCTTGATTCTCCTCTTTTGCGTAAGGAGTAGAACTTACTGTAGAAATTACTGTTGACATGAATCCCAGGGTGCAGAAAGAACTGTTTAGATGTTTGGATGTTGAACTTAGCGATATGGTTTAGTGGAGGACTTGTTAGTGTTAGGTCAGAGGTTGGACTTGATGATCTCGAGGTCTCTTCCAACCTAGACAATTCAGTGATTCTGTGCTTCAGTTTTACTAAGATCAAGATGGAGTTCTGATGTGATGCAATTAGAAATTATTGGTGCACTCAATTTACAATATCAGACATAAGCAGGTGCTTGGTATATGTTTAGTTGTGCCACCCTTTCTCCAGCTCCGTCCGCTTTCTCTCTCAGTACCTTTGTTCTTTTGATTCTCCTTTTTTCTAATAGATAGATATATACCTTAAAGTCAATGCTGAGCTATGTTCTGTTTTCCTTCTCACTCTTCAGCTTTACATTGAATCATCAATTTGTCTTCGCCTTTCCTGTGTAGAAGGACACTGTGGCCTCAGCCACACAAATCAATTCTAGTTGTAGTTGGTACATTTTTGTTATTGCTTCAGGAGCCACTGAATTTACTCATTTAGATGTAGAGCTTAGGGATATGGTTTAGTGGGGACTGTTAGCGTTAGGTCAGAGGTTGGACTCGATGATCTTGAGGTCTCTTCCAACCTAGAAATTCTGTGATTCTGTGATTCTGTGATCTTCAGGAATGCCCAAAGATGCCTCCCATTGTCCTTATTATGAACTTGGAGATTTTATTTTACTTTTCTTCTTAATGTAAAAAAAAATTCTTAATGCATTTGCAATGTTGCTGATTACTAGAAGAAATATTTCAGTTTCTTAAACAGAGAGGGAGAAGGAACAGTACCTAATGGCTGTACTATCAAAAAAAAAAAATCAAAGTACATTTCCAGAAGGGGGCATAACAAACATCATTACCTAGAAGTATGAGGGCAGACAAGTGCATCTGGCAGACAAGTTGCAAATCAACCAGCTGTCTCTCATAAGCAGATTTAGGTCTTAATCAAAACTCCCTAAACCATCTTGAAACAAGGGTGAAGTCTAAAGACTGGAACTGTGTATTTGGCCTCTATCTTTGTAGATTGGATCAAAACCTCTGCTATGAAAAATCACTGAATTAGGACCTCCCTCAGAGGAAGAGGAAGAGATTGCTCTCTAGTATGAACAGGCTAGATCAGCTAGCACAGTTGTACCAACACTTCTGCAGAGCATCTGTCTTCA